CTTGAAATAGTGTCTGATCTAGAGTAACTAACACGTAGCTCTTACTATCATTAGGCCAAAATCCATATCTGGTATCTGTGAATGTCTCAGTAACTTAAAACTGAGCTCCCCTGAGCAGAAGAAACTTCCATCACACGTATAAGGGGGAGAACTTGGCCTCACTTAAAGGGGCACTTCCTAGTAAGTTGCAAGGATATTTTGGTAATCGGCACTAGACAGTAGCATAGTTCCAATAATTTACACCCTCCTGAGCCTGCTCAACCTCAACCTATGGTTTAGGAAGGGATACATTACAGTTGCCATAACAGAATTCATTCTTGGTATTATGTTGACACTTCTCTCTAGTAAAACCATAACTTATTCTTTTAATCACCTTAATAGTGAATGGCAGTGAAAACGGCCCATTTCCCCCTTCCACTCTGGACACTGACGTTTTACCAAGTATGGTGCATCCAGGCTGCTTCTAGGTGTCGCTAGAGGAGCAGCAATGGTGGCGCCAAGGAGCGCTGGGTCGACATCCCGCCCTGGAACTTGACCAACTGGGGACCTGGGCAAGGTTCTGGACCTCTTCAGAGTTTTCTGGAAGCTGAGTCGTGGTTCAGGGGGTGGTCATGAAGATGAGGTGAGCTATTCATTCATCCTACACTCCCTGGGCGACCCGGGATAACAAAGGTAGGGGCTCATGGGCACCGAGTGGGAATCCCTTCCCACCCTCACTAACTCTAGGGTAAAGGGTGGGCTGCTAGAACCAAGAAATCCAGCAACGTAGTGGCTTAAAGACAAGTTAATTTCTCTCTTTTAACTGTGCAGCACAGGAAGGCATTCTGCTTGTACATTCAGGGATGACTGGGTTTCTCTGCTTTCCCTTCTCTGCTATCCCCAGGACACCATCCTCCGGAGCGTGGACCATACAGATACACTCGCATTTGGTCGTGGGAAGGTGGCCCAGCCAACCAACCGTTCAAGGGGCAAGCCCTGTGCGGACCATGCCCTCCTGGTCATGTGCTATTGAGAGAATGCAGTCACATGACCACCAGAGCTGCCAAGGATTCTGGGAAATAAGTGCTTTTCTTGGTGCTCAGGGGCCCACAGAAATACAACTCTACTTCTGAAAAATGAAGGGAGAGTCAGAACACGGCTTGGAGAGGACATGGCAATCTGCTACAGCCCTTAAATCCGCATATGGAGGTAATCTTAACCTGGTATTTTTTGGAAGGGCAACTTGGATTCAGACACAGAAACTATGAGGCTCTAGTGGTGAAGGCAGAAATGGCTCAGAGTCTACTTCCCTATCATCACCTGGGGATCTTGTTAAAATGTAGATTCTGATTCAGTATATCTTGGATGGAAAAGGCAAATTCTCAGCAGGGGATCGAACCAGAACGCCTGGAACTGACAACTTGGCAGGGACTCGAGCCAAGCCCCAGCTCTTATCTGTAGTTTAGACCTAATGAAACTGAGGCACTGAGGTTAAATAGCTTAACCAAATTCATACGGCTATTAGTAGCGGGGGGCGGGGGGTGGTTAGCCAATAAGCAAGGTAAGCACTACAGATGATCTGCTTACCTTGCTTACCAGATTATCTGTAGTGAATAATTTCACATTAAAGATTCTGCTTCTAGGTATGGCTGGCATCTGTCTCTCAACCCCAGAATCAAAGCCTCTTTTCAAAGCTATAGTCCCTGATGGGGGGCATGACCCAGTAGGCAAGGTAACCACGGGCATATGAAACCCATGTGAAACTGTTCACTACAGATTAGTGTAGTGAACAATCTACCTTGCTTATTGGATAATCCACCCGATTAGCAGAGGGGCTGGGACTCAAACCAAGCAGTCTGGATCCAGAAGCTGTGCTCCTGATCACCCTGCCATATAGTTATACTTTAGGCCCCATTTCTGCAGGAATAATTAGAGCTGAGAGCCAAAACGTGTTCCTGCTTAAATAGGGATGTCCAAAAAAAAAAAAAAAAATTTTGATTCAGTTCTCAGACTCTTTCCTTTACCCTCCCGTACCTTTCCTCTCCTCTAGGTCTAACCAATTGGAGAATCTGATAACCTCGAGCCCGCAACAGTGGGACACCGCAGCTCCATCCAGCCAAAGCAGTGTTGGGACAGTTGAGGTCCAAGATATCCAAACGCCTGAGTCTTCCTTAATAACCAGTCATGGAGGTGTCACTCCGCGAAGTGGAAGGAAATGGCCAAACTGAGGCCCTAACGTGGGCTACTCAGGGTTGAATGAAATGATAGATAGTTGGGTGGGTAGCAGCTCTGCAGGCTAATAATTATTCTCCTCTAAGGAGACAATCATCGTATTTATAATCATAAAACCAGTTTACTGAAAAATTGTACAATATAAATCCCAGTTTCTCAAAATTTTCATTGACTTCTGTATTTTTTTATTAAAAATTATTCCTATCCTAGAAATTTCCCAGAAAGTGTTGCCCTTTAATTTTCTGCTACTCTAAATATATAACCAAGGAAGATTATTATTGTCACATGAGCATAAAAGGAGATATATATAGATATATATATATATATATATATATATAAACCAGAAATGTATTCTTTGGGCACCAACTATTACGTGACTCAGTCGGTAAGTTTTATCAACTTCACCGGTAAAGCCCTAGAATAAAGCAAGGCCCTAGTCCGGTTTATCTGTCCTCTCACACATACACCATACTGTTAAGGGGCAGCAGAAGCATGGCCTGAGAGGCCTTCAGCCTGAGTCAGCCTGGCCCAGGTCTACTTAGGAAGAGGGGTGCTGGGGGAAGGCCAGTCGGCATGCAGAGTAGCATGACTTGTTTTTGTGGTCTTACTATTTGCGAACCAACAGCAGCAAGGGCAGGATCTGAAGGAAGAAATGGGTTGCACCAGACTCACCATACTGTAAGAACCACAACAGAGAGGCTAAGTAAAAATGGTTTCAGGTCCCAAGCCCACGGCTCTAAGCACAGGTGCTTCAGGCAGGCCTGACACCAGCCAAGTTCACCAAGTCACGGGCACTTTCCTGAGATCACCTCATGCAGAGGGCTCCACCTGCTGTGCTGGGGGTGGGTTTCCTGCCATTCAGAACCCACCCAACAAAAACAGGAGCAGACATGGGATGTGGAGTTCTTCCTACCCAGCCTTGTGTTTATATGTCTTCTGGGAATATGGCAGCATGAGATTTTTTTACACCAGTTCCCAGGACCTCAGAAACGCTCCAGCACCAGCCATCACTACCCAACCCCTAACTCCTGTGACAGCAAGGGGGACTTCTGTCCCAGTTCCCTAAAGGCTTGATGTCATAGTGGAAAGTATTATAAAAAGAACTACCGAATTGATGAAAAAAATGCCACACATTTCCAGTGGATGCCACTGGGCACTTTTCCCTGTAGGGTGTCTACAGATTTCATCAGCGGCAAGTCCACGTGGTTATTTAGCAGTGGCCACAGGCCCTTTGCTGCCAAGAGTTCCATTAGCAACTTATGACGAGGTTTCCTTTTGTACCCATGGTCCCACATTCCAGCAAAACTCTGACTGCTGTTAGAAATGGCTTTACTCTACCTAAAAATGAACAGGTAAGCCAGGAATAATAGGAAATGTTGTTTCCTGTGAAACGATCTTGCAAATGACATTAAGAAATCCTGCTGCATTTCAAAGAAAAGGTCTGATTACAGGGTGCCCACTAGAAGTGGAAGCCTCGAGGAAACGAGGGTGAGGGTGATTATACTTTGAGGAGTCAGATTCATTTCTGATGCAGAATCATCACAAAAACGAGTATGTGCTGCAGCCTGTGGCTCCCCGTAACAGTCTGGCAACAGGCTGGATGTCCGCTCGGTTATGCCTGTTTCCCACGTGGCCCTCGTGGGCTACGTCCTGCAGAGCTTCAGTGGGAAGTTCTCCGTGATGAGGTGATCGGCATGAAGAAGCACAACGATGTTGATCTCAAATTCTGAAAAGAAGAGAGGAAGGCTTTATGTTCACTTGCACCAAACACGAACTCAACTAAAAGGAAAAACCCATTGCTGTCAATTCTGCGACACTGGTGGTAAAGTGCTTAAGTGCTCGGCTGCCAACTGAGAGGTCGGTGGTTTGAACCCACCAGCCACTCCGAGGGAGAAAGGTGTGGCAGTCTGCTTCCGTGAAGATTGCTGTTGGGTGCCATCGAGTCGATTCTGACTCATAGTGACCCTGTGTGACAGAGGAGAACTGCCCCATAGGGTTTCCTAGGTTATAATCTTTATGGCAACAGATC